GTGTACCTTACAACACACACAACGTACGCACGCACCACATGCACACACGTGTACCTGCACAGGCACCACGCACGCACGCCACAAACATGTACCTTCACACGCGCGCACGCACGCACGTGTACGTGCAACACACAGACGCACGCACGCATGCGACGCACGTGTAAGTTCACACGCCAACCACGCACGCACATGTACGCGATGTTTCATGTGTAGCGAATTCGACCCGCTGTACACGATACACTATAGCTAGCATGCGTCAGCATTACTTCACCTTGAAGAGCGTTAGCGGTTTCGTAGCCACGTGGGCTAGCGCGGATTGGAAAGGGAAAGCCTTGCTGCACCACTTGACCGTATAGTTTAATTGGACTGGACACCTGCAGGTCACCACGTGGTCACATGACTGTAACCACGTGGTGTGCCAGCGCTGTATATAAAGCTGCGGCGCGTCCAGCCTCCAAAGCAACACAGAGCCAGCTTGGCTCAGTCGGGGCAAGCTCGCACCCTCCACTGCTCTCTAGCTGCTGGCGGCTTGGTCCGCCCTGCTAGCTGACCATGTAGGGTGTAGCGGAGCTCGGTCAGAAGGGCTACGCAAGGATACACAAGGCTCAGGACGATGATCACCCGCGCTTGCTGCCCCCTTCCTGACGGCAAGGATACACAGCGCGGAGCCAGCTCGGCTTGTCAGGAAGCTCGCACCCTTCACATGCTCGCGCACGCACGCAGGTGTAAGTTCGCACGCACGCATGCACGCACGTGTACGTCCGCACGGCACGCACGCACGCACGCACGCACGCAGCACGCACGTGTACGCTGCACTAGCATAAACAGTGCTTTCTATCGAGAACATGTGGTCATCATCTGTAATTGTCAAGCAGCACGCTTGCTTCTGCCAACCACAACACATAACAAAGTACACGTGACCTGATCTATGACGTCACGTGAAACATCGCTATTAGGCCTGCGCGATGGTGTTTGCATATGTTTGCTAGTGAAATTAGACCCGCTAAAATTCGAGACTGTTTCGCTGGCAGCAAGTTGATCCGTGCGCCGGCCATTTCGATTTTGGCGCACGGATCAATAGCTGCCATGCGCGTGATACTTTCGTAGGAGTTCCCGGGTCGCCTGGCGCCTTGCCGCGGAACTGCGCGCAAGATTCGCGCTTAGCGGGCAGGATCAACACCTCTCAGGCGACGCTTCTCTGGTATCCGGTCTTTCATCTGGATATACCATTTGTGTACTACTTGTAGCTAGTGGAGTATTTTGTTGAGCGCTGAATTTTTGAAACAGGTAGCCATATTATGTGTACGTGTCATGCTGCTCTCAGTATTTGAAGGGTTGATTATATTTGAATGTTTTGATAGATATTTTAACAGTTGAATGTAGATTTTCTAGGTATATGGCTAAATATACAACGATGATGTACGTTTGGAAGCACTTGTTATTGATTTTATATTGTTTAAGTTGTAGAAAAATCCATCCATGGATGTTTGGCGGGGGTAGAGTGTAAAGGATCGCTTATCGCTATCATCTTGGATTAAGGTACTTGCATCACTTGAAACCTTACAAAAAATACCCAAGTAGATTCCTTGGGCATTAAAACATATAATTAGACATTTAATTCATGTTTCTAGCTCGACTGGAGCCAGAGTTATGGGAAAACCCCTAAATGGGGGCAATTTTGGACGCCATCTTGGATTCTGAAAAACGCACGATTTCCGGGGACTTTTAGTATGTTATTCTACACATTTTTCTGAACCTATCCTGAAAAATTCAGCTTGTTTTGAAAAATGTTCGGGTTTTAGCTAAAAATCTTGGACTACTGCCGTGAAGACGGAGTAGTTGTATGGGAGAGATGTGAGAGGTGACGAGGCTGTGGATCTAAGGTTGGTGTCCCCGTCGTGACAGCGGATGTCAAGGGCGTAAGACGCGTGTGGCCGTAGTGGCTATATGGGACACGTGTCACCGGGGGTAGACACTGACTGTAACTTGTAACTGTATATCTTCTATTGTTCAATATGTTCTATTATGTCTCTATATATTGTTCTATATTAAAATGTTAATTTAATGAGTATTAAAATTTTGTTAGTACTTGTTCCAATACGCTGTCTTGTTTTTTGTGCCCGGTTTTTGTTTCCCTAATCTAAGCTATAAATAACAACCCTATAATTCAGAGAGTTATCACAACTAGTTACATAATAAACGCATTACAAATGTAAACTTGTAACTAACAGAATAGGAGAGGCAAGTTTGAATATGGACATCTGACCGACATCGTTGTGTATTAAATCATTGTTAAACGTAGTATAATAATTTTGCATAGAATAAATGTCAAATTTAGAAATTTTGGTCTCGCAGTTTCTATGAGAAAATAAATACTATATTTAAATAATATTTAAGTATTATAGCCAAATTACAAAAAAATACTATTCTACCTGTTTTGCGATGCACTAATTGAATGAACTGATTTTAGAATCAGCTAAAATAATCAGAAACTGTGTTGTTAACGTTTGAAGTCATAATTGCTGTGGTTATTCTAACGCGGACGTTTATCAGAATGCACAGCTAGTAATCGGGCTGAAAGGTAGACGGGTTTTCTATGTTATAGCTAGTAGATGTGACTGACCAAACGGTTGAGCGTAAGATATAGATGGAACGTTTGGTGTATTTAGAAATGACTGCCGCAACCAGTAAAAACATTTCTGCCATCCAGATAATCTTATTTATTTACAAAGTGCGATAATCATAGTTTAAAAAAACTAAGAAATTTTGAAAACCAGTAACTCACCCTATCGTACAACGCCGTCCACTTCTGCAGCAATGAAAAGAGAATAGAACAGTATAAGTAGACATAATTAATGCAAAGTGGAAAATATGACATAAACATAAACTGATGATAATCACGTACAATAACAAGGTTAGAAATAAATAGCAACACACACGCGCTCACGCGCACGCGCGCGCGCACACACACACACACACGCGCACATGGACGCACGCACACACACACGCACACGCACACGCGCGCGCGCGTAGAAGACTGTCTTCTGTACATGTATTTGTATTTGAATCACATGCAATAAAGATTTAATAATAATATTAATAATAAATTGTATTAATTTCGTTACGAACGTGCGCAGCACTCGTATAAGAAGGCGTGAAAACGTTTGCGAATTTTGAATAAAATTGGATTTAATTGTTGTTTTGAGAAATGTTCATTGATGTTTAATATGTGTGTGTTCGTTACTTCGTATGCGCGTCTGCGTGCGTGTTCACACGTGCGCGCTTATGTAAAAGTAGTATTTAAGCTAATTACATGAATAACTCATACACGATATAAACCATAATTTTGTGTGATAATCCTTTTGAGAAAACAAATAAATTTACGTGTTTGAGACAGTTGCACTTGTCTTTGCAGCTACAAGACTGTCTTTAACCGCATAACAATAGATTCATACAAAAAACGCATGAGATGATGTCTGTCAATGCTGTATTAATTTTCGAGACGTAAAAAATTACCTCGTTTTGCCAGCGCGGAAGTTGAAGTAGGAGTATTAGCAGCTACACTACTTAAAAGATCTCCACTAAGCAAAAAAACAACAACTCATACGAGTAGGTGTGCGGCACGCCTCTTCGTACGACGTTTTTACCGCCGCTAAAAGATCAAATCCTATTTAATGTCTGTTCTCCGATTTAAATGCATTTCCAGAGAAATTCGACAATAAAGGGCCACTAACTACGCTCGTATTGTAGCGGTGGCGCCTCGATCGCGGTGCGCCATCCGCCCGTGGTGAAACGCCGCACGAGCTGTCGGTTGACATTTTCACGCAACGACATTATCCGATTCGTTGGACGTAAATAGATCGCCAAACGTCGCTCTTGCACGAGCGATCGAGTACTCACTGACCACGACTACGCGCCGCGTCCTGTGCTCTGATGATATTGTTACACACAGGCGGCAATATTAGGCTTATATGGAAACTAGACAGAGAGAGAAAGAGAGAGAAAAAACAGCGTGTTATATTCGTATTTGTGCCAAACTCTATCGTATGAAACCGTTCTAGCCTAGCAGAATGCCCTAGTTCCTGAGATCGGCGATTCCATGCTCGCATAGCTATGGTACCTAAAAGTTACATGAGGAAGGCGCGGCGTAGACTGTGATTGGAAGACACAAAGTGCCAATCCTCGGCGAGCCTCGGCATCATGGCCGCATCACGTCTAGCCGTACAAGATGCGCTACGCTCGGTCTACATAGACTACCACTAAAACAACCCCCAGCCTAGCCTCGCTGACTAATTCATGCAACATTTGTAAAACATATGTTACACTGTAGTCCAATATTTTTAGCTCAAATATGGCCAAACCTGGACACTTTTCAAAACAAGCTGAATTTTTCAGGATTGGTTCAGAAAAATGTGTAGAATAACATACTAAAAGTCCCCGGAAATCCCCCTTGTGCGTTTTCCAGAATCCAAGATGGCGTCAAAAATTGCCCCGATTTAGGGGTTTTCCCATAACTCTGGCTCCAGTCGAGCTAGAAACATGAATTAAATGTCTAATGATATGTTTTAGGGCACAATAAATCTACTTAGGTACTTTTTGTGAGGTTTCAAATGATGCAAGTACCCTAATCCAAGATGGCCGCCATTTTTTAATACTTTGACGCGCCTTTTCCCGCGCCGTACGTGCTCACATCTTCACTTCAGCTGCTCTCATAAGTGTTTTGATAGATGCACCAGGCACATTGGATAGTGTTGACAAAGACCACCTCAGACACCTGTACAAGGCCCTTCTTGACAATGATCAAGCTGCCACCGACGTAGCAGAGGAAGAGTGTGTGAAGCAGTTGAGCTAGATCATTTCACAACTCCTTGAACATACTTCAAGTCAGAGCAGGACCGGTAAGCTGTGGGTACAGTACATCCAACAAGTGGCTCTTCTACATTTCATTCGAGCTGAAAGGACAGGGGACTGGAAGCTCCATCTCTACTGTGTGAGGAAAAATGATTCCACATATTCATGCTGCAGGACATCTACCCTATGCCAAATCTGCCAGGTTGTATTTACAACAGATGGATGAATTGGAGAAAACCATGCCGACTGATGAGTACAGTCTATTCACAGAAAAGGGGTACTTCACCATTCGTCGCAGGGACTCATTCTGGAGTGGTAACTTCTCAGATCAGACCATTGAACAGTTCCTGATGCGGTCGCTGAAAGCCTCTGGAAGAATGACACATGGCAGGGGCATCACTGATAGTACGTTGACTAAATGGGTCTATGCACTACCTCTCTGTGTTCCGTTCTGTGATGCACTTGAGAAGTTCACAGGAGTACACACCTGTACATCAGATCAACATAAAGACATGTTGCAAAGTACCCAGTCGAGAGATAACAAGCATCGATGTGTGTTTCTTGGATGGCTGGAAGCACATCCACCATTTGCGGGCTATGCACCTGATCAACTGGTGTCATTGTCCACCGGAGTCGTTGCGGATACATCTGTCGACTGTGACAATGCTGTAGAAATTGGTGAAAAGGCAGCATCAGAAATGTCAGGGAAAAGGTTCACAGACATCACTCTACGTCGTAATGACAAAGTGAAGACGATCGGTGCTAAAGAGAAGATGGTGCGAGTCAGAGGACAGCAAGTAGAAGTGAATTCATCTCTACTCTTCAATAGAATCACATGTGTCCTGAACAACAGCTCAGAGATAAAATCCCTCTTGGCGTATGAACTTGCTCCCCAGCCACCTTCGCTCTTCCAATATGGTGTGATGCGAAAACCTACAAAGAGTTCTTTGGGACTTCTGTTGAAAGAATTCAAGTAACCAACCAGCCTACCTGAAAATTGCATCTATGTTCTAGATGGCGGTCACTTTCTCCAATCTGTTGTCTGGCCTAAACCGTCTACCTATGCTGATGTGCATCAGTCGTACATTTCGTACATCCTGAGGCATTATGGAGCTTAAACAACCGTGGTGTTTGACGGATAGGGGGTAAGGCATCCACAAAAGAAGCTGAACAGAGGCGACGGGCCAGCAAAAACACTTCCAGAGACATCATACCCGGTGATGACATGCCTACTACTACAACCCAAGCTGCATTCCTTGCTAACAGCAACAACAAGATGAAGTTCATTCAAGCTCTACGCGATAAAATGTTGATGGCTGGAATACGTGTTAAGCAAGCAGAGGCAGATGCCGACACACGGATTGTCTCAACAGCGTTAGATCTAGCAGAGTCTGAGCAACAACCGGTTGTTCTTGTTGGTACAGACACAGACCTACTTGTCATGTTGGTGGCTCGGGTAGACACTACAACAGATGTGTACATGTTGTGCTCCAGCAATCCTGTAATGATCTACGACATTCATGACATTCAGCATACCATTGGAGAAACTAGAGCTCACTTGATGTTTCTGCACGCTGTAACCGGCTGTGATACAGTATTTGCAATACATCGTCAGGGCAAGCGGAAAGCTTTCAACATGGTGCACAAGAAGGGTAAATATGACTTGCTTGATATATTCACCAACAACCGAAGCACACACGAAGAGGTGAAACAAGCCGGAGAAGCATTCATCCTTGCGCTGTATGGAGCAGACAAAGTTGAAACGTTGGATGAATATCGCAACATTGCATACAAGCGTGCAATAGGCGCAGCTCATTGAGTTCTTCATTTCAACTCGCAAGCTTACCCCCAACAAGTGCGGCAGCAAAGCAGCATTCATACCGGACATATCTAACTGTTCAAGAATGGATGGGCAACAGCCTGCCTCCTACTGAATGGGGATGGCGATCTCAAGATGGCAGTCTAGCACCTGTGGGAATGGACATCCCTGTTGCACCTGACGTTCTTCTCAACATGGTGTCTTGTGGATGCAGACAGGATGAATGCAGCAACATGACATGCAGCTGCAAGAAGCTTGCCTTATTCTGCTCCTCAATGTGCAGCAAATGCATCGGCCAGTCCTGCAACAATACAGCACCAGCGCTAGAAGCACCCATAGATGATGAAACAGCTCTGACTAATGACGCAGAAGACTGATGTCAAATGGTACTGTCAGACACTTCGGTTACCCCATCAAATGTCTTGTGGTTTCATAGCGAGAATAGGATAAGTCTCCTAGCTATTATAATACATTAATATTTTGTTTTGGATATGCATAATTTCTAGATGTTTTGTATAAAATGTATGCGAAAGTTTAGTTTGAAAGTTGTCATTCTTAAGGTAGCATACTTTAGGAGAGAACCAGTTATGTTTGTAGGGCACTAGATCTATAGTGCTGTTTTTGCTTGACTAGTGGTGCCCCCGGACGGCCCGTCCTTTCACCGCAGGTGTCATTTAAAATTTGTAGCGGCACGCTCCCCCTAGTGGCCATTAAATACAAAACA